TAACTTAGCGTAACTGTACTATAATCCCAGGCATTTAGATTAGAGAAACAAAATGTCCTAAGTTGTAGAATTTTAGAATTTCTGTAAGGGTCTACATTAAAGAAGTAAGTTTGCTATTACTCCCATTTAAAGACCCATGATGCAATAATTGTAGGCCTTTGAATTTCCATTCTTGCTTTGCCAAACAAGAAATTTCAAAGTAAGAACTCACAGAATTTAGAGGCTGATTAGATAAAGAACAAGAAAAAAAGTGTTAAAGATGACTCAATAATTTGGTATCTGTGAAAATGGGGTCTGATTGAAAACAAGTATATTCTCTAAAGTCAGGGTTGGAAGAAATAACACATTTGGCTTTACGCATGTTGGATTTATAATGCCTTGGCAGGCTGTCTAGGTGGAGTTGTACAGCTGTGGTGGAAATAGAGGCAGGACTGAGCTGGAGTGGACAGAGACCTTGCTGCAGGTGAGGTAACCAAGGGAGAGAGTGGAAATAGAAACACAGAGAAGGCCAAGGGGTGAGCCCTGAGGAACCCTCACATTAGACAGCACAAACAATAAAGGGAAAGGAAAAGGCAGTGGAAAGGGAAGAGGATAATGCAATTTTGTGAATGCCAAAGAATACAAGACTGTGAGCTGAATATTAATCACCCTTGTTGTAGGTCAGGCAGCTGTTATTCAACGAAGTTAGGTAACTGGCCCCAAACCACATGGCTTGCCAGCCATAGAGCTGGATTTAGGACCTTAACATCTCTGGTAGACTTCCGGCATCACTCATTCAGGACATCCTCCTAGCCGTGACATCATGCCCCGCTACCTTCTTCCAAGTACCCCATGTGCCTGTCGGTTCTCACATCTAAGGAACCAGTCGGTTTCATATGTGCATTCATAACTCAGCCTAGAATTAGTCCCAAACTAATCTTAAAATGGCCAAGATGGCCGAAGGAAAACACAAGCCTTTATATTTTAGGGGCATTTTGTCCCACCATAGCTGCAGTAATACAGGCAGTCTCTGCTTCAGAGAATTGTGAAGCATACTTTATGAACATTAAAAACAAAATGAGCCAGAACTCCTCTGTTCTTATGAAAGGAGTTGCAGTTTTCCAGGAATTAATTTATGGTAGGAAAGGAAATAATTCGTTAACAACTTGTGGAAGAACACCTTAGTAACTTCTTCTAAAGGGTAACAATACTTCCCCATAATGGAACCCAATAATTCCATTTCTAAGTTCTGGGCTCCCAGGGGAAAATAAAGTATCTAGGCAAAAGATTGGTACATAAATGTTCCATAGTCAGCCTTTATTTTTCAGTAAAACTAGAAGCTGGGGATACAGCTCATTCAATAACCTGAACAGAGGAAAACACATTGTGAGTACGGATGCCATACCAAGGAATCCTACTTGCCATTCTAAGAATGGGAAACAATTAACACCACAACAGGCGCCGAGGGAATCTCAAAAACCTGCTGAGAACAGGAAGCGAGGGACACAGTAAGGAGTGTCATCGCATTAAGGATTCCTTCATGTTCAGTTATTGATGAGGCTTGGTATCCCAAAGCGTTTCTGTTGTTAGAATAAGAGCTGCTATGAGATTTATGGTACGAAGTCTTTCTGTAGATGACCTTTTGTTATTTTTCCCCCCTGGAAGCCAGGACTTAGAAATGGATTACTTGTATATGGAAGTATTTGTCTTTAAGCGTTTAGTAGATTACCTAGAGTGTTTTTCCAACGTGTTAACGAACGAATTATTTCCTTCCGTAACCATTAAATTAATTTTTCCTTGGGAAAAGGCAACTCGTTTATAGACAAGAGGCTTATCTGCTCGATTTGTTTTTATAATTTCCATTAAATATGGCTCACTATTCGCGTTAAGCAGAAATTGCTGGTATTCTGCTTTTCTTTCGAGCTTTTGTGGTTAAAATGCCTCAATATATTAGCTTTTTGGTGTTTCTTTGGCCATTTTTTTTAAGGATTAAGTTTGGACTGAATTTTCAGGCTCTTGAGTATGGAATGGCACATATGAAATAAACCGACTGGTTCCTTAAGATGTGGAAACCGACAGGCACATTGGTGGTACTTAAAGTAGGTAGCGGCATGATGTCACGGCTTAGGACGGATGTTCCTGAATGATATTGATGCGTGTAGTCTACAGAGATTGAAGTCTAAAAGTCCCAGCTCTAATGGTGCGAAGCATTGTGGTTGGGGCCGGAGTTAACTAAACTCATTGAATACAGGCTGCTGACCTACAGAACAAGGGTGATTAACTATTCAGCTCACAGTCTTGTATTCCTTTGGCATTCACGGAAAATTGCCATTTATGCCTCTTCCCTGTCCACTGCCTTTTCCTTTCCCTATTATTGGTTTGTGCTGTCTGAATTTTCTTGAGTGGTTCCTCAGGGCGTCCACGCCCTTGGCCTTCTTCTTGTGTTTCTACTTCCGACTCTGCCCCTTGGTTACCTCACCTGCAGCCAAGTCTCTGTCCACTCCAGTTGCAAGTCCTGTGCGTATTTCCCAGCCACAGCTGTACATCTCCCCTAGGACAGGCCCTGTGCCAGAAGCATTATAAATCCAAATGCGTGAAACCAAGAATGTGATGTGGCTTTCAACCCTGGACTCTTAGGATATTACTTGTTTTTCAATCGACCCCTATTTTCGAAAGAGTGAACCCAAATTATTGAGTCATCTTTAACCAGCTTTGTTTTTCCGTTGTTCTTTACTCTAATCAGGCCTCTAAATTCTTGGAGTTTCTTACTTTGGAAGATTTCTTTGGCAAAGGCAAAGAATGGAAATTCAAAGGCCTACAATTATTGCATCATGGGTCTTTATGGAGTATCAGGACTGTACTTCCTTAACGTGTTAGACTTGAGAAATTTAAAATTGCTAAGAACTTAAGACATCTTCGTGTTTTCTTCTAATGCTTTAAATGGCTGCCTGGATTATAGTACAGTTAGCTAAATTTACAGGTCCCGGCTTATAAGGCGTTACTCCCATTCCATCATCCTTGTATACAGTTTCCAAGTTAACCA